CTGGTTGAGTACTCATAATCCGGTGCCCCTTCTCTCTTAACGTTGACCTCTATTCCTGTAGCTGCGTTTGATTTCTGTGAGGCTTTTCATGACCCCATGTGGCAGCACAGTCCCAAATTAATAAGGATCTGTGTTGACAGCTGCTTCAAAAGCTTCTGGCCTCTTTCAGGGATTTTTTTTTCCCCCCCTTGTGTGCAGGGTGTCGGATGCAGGCGCCCCAGTATTTCTTCTGGTGTTTGCTTTCCTGTGCAGTTCTGGCCCCTGGTGCTTGGCAGATCTGTGGGTTTAGCTTCCTCTTGCAAATTAGCCACTGCAAGGATAGGTTTTTGCTTATTGTTGATGTGTGGCTACTGGGTGATTGAAAAGGAAATGTCTTCTGTTGTGTTCTACCAGTGAAGGCTGTGTCTAGGTCTCTTCTTGAATCTGACCTCTGTGCTAAAAATGGCGTTGAAACCATGCCTCAAGGTGTGCTCGTTGCATTCTAGTCATCATGACAGTATTTATTAATTATTTGCCTCTTATTTATTTGATAAACATTAGCTGGGTTTTTGTACTCTGTGCTTTTGTTATTGCGGTGGTGTCTAAGTTTCAGCATTGTGGTGCTTCCACAAATTACTTCTGAGAATTAGCACACCGTCTGTGTGCAATAACGCAGCTTTTAGCAACTCCAGATTGCCACGCTCGTGGTGGGGAGTGTGGATGAAAGCCAGCCCAGTGAATTAAGGTCATGTCCCTACTGGGGACAGAAGGCAAACTCTAGGTAAAACGATCTAGACAGTCCCTTTGAGAGGCATCTGTTCCTGGTAGGACTTTGGCAGTCATGGCTACGGCTGTTAATCTTCAGGCCCCCAGCCACTGAAAGGTAGGAGAAGAGACATGGGGACTCGCTCCAGGCACTAATGGACACCTGCAGGAAAAATACTTCATGGTTTTGACAGTCATAGGTGGATGGAAAGTATTGCTGAGTAGAAAACTTGTAAAGCTAGCCATATGGGTTAAATAAAAGTAATCATGATACAAAGCAAAATAGACAATAGCCACTTTTCAGACAAGGTTTTTAAAAAGCGTTAATACAACTACTGGATCTCTCAGAGAAGTGGCAGTCTCTCAGTGGAGAATTATTACTTCATAATACCAAAATTTTAAGAACCTGACATTTACAATACTGAGGAGAAAATAGAAGCTTTTGGATATACATCTGTGTGGGAGGAAATAATGTCAAAAGGAAAAAAGCCATGAGCTGTTGTACCAGATAAATATACTATATTAGGAAAATTAAGACATGAGAGGGACATCTTGTGGCACAAATAAAATTAAAAAAAAAAAAAATTCCAGTGGCAGGAGGAGAATCCTGGGATGTTACCCCGGGGTCACCATTTCTGGTAGAAATTCTAGGCCTAGCAAAAGATGAATTTGTTCCAGTTTTTCTTATAGCAGGACCCTTGCTACCCACTTTCTCATCTTGCCATTTTTTTGCCTCCATGAGCAGAGGATTACAGTTCTACCAAGTATACTCATCTGTCTTGGTGCAAATTATACAAGTTTTTAATGAAGAAATAGACTAAAATGTCACTACCGTTATTTGACTGTGTTGCTTCATCAGGGGCATAAAATGTAACAGTAGTTTAGCTGTGGGTGGTTAACATTTATTTTCCACTTGTATCACAATCAGATTTCCATATGTTCATATAAATTAAGAAGAATATATTTAATTTTCAGGAGTACAAAGGGCCATGATTGTGTACGATCAACTGAAATTAAACCTAACATACATCTGTGAATCACGCTATGAGTATGACGTCGTCTTGCTGTTGGTGTGCCTGAACCTCTAGATCCCTTTGATTAGTTTTGATCACGTGGTGATAAAAGTTTATCTTTTACAAGCAGTGGTTTTCCCAAGAGTTCTTCTTGTAACTTGGAATGATTTTTTTAATACCTTTTAATAGTCTTAGATGAGGTTGTGGTGTATCACTGTATGGAGTGGGGGAAGTCTACAACACAGAAGTATTTTCAGTCTCTCTCAGACCTCAGCCACGTGAACCACGCATTTTAACGTCTGTTAGAAGTGGTTCTTCTCGGCAGGCTGGTGGTGCGCTTGACCAGAGCTGGGGTAGCAGGTAGGTTGATCTCCAGCCCAGTTACCTTCCAGTTGCAATTTACACCCTTTGTTGGCCACTGTGGTCTGGCTTCTGGCGCAGGGCTGCTGGAGAGATTTAACTTGAGATGTTGCTGGGTTGGGCTCGGGTGTTTTCAGCAGGCAGGAGTAAGTTGGCCTGAACTTTGAATAGAGCTCCTAGTCTCAGCTTTGGAGAAACAATAGCATGGCAGTTAAAGGAAAACACAGATCTGTCTCTCCTACAGAAATACCTGTCAGCTGTATAGGAGTTAAGCTTGTACTTGTAATGAAAAACTAAACATTGAGGAGTTTTTGGTGGTACCTCTTTTGTTTTGAAATTTCAGCAACCAGGTATTGTTTTGGTCAGTCTCACCATTTCCAGTACAACCTTGTTTTTGTATATCTGAGATATATTTAAAGTTCAGTGTATGTTGTTTTCTTCCGGATGTTTATGATGTGTCTGTTCATGCCTAAGGATCCAGAAATACTGTTTGAATCAATTGGTATGTAAATCATTCTCTGCTTTGGAAAGACAAGAGATCATTTCTCCAGCAGTAATTCAATCATCGCTTGTTTTTTGTAAAACCACAATACCCTTGCCTAAATTTAATTCAAAGTTTATGTTTCCTAGCTACAGTTCTAGTACTTCAGTTGGCATGAGTAGAAACACCATAAATTAGAACAAAAAATTAAGGAGAATAGTGAAGGGGTCTTTTTTTTTTGGCATAAAGATAGGGCGGGAAAACCCCAAGTTTTTGTCTTCTGGCTTTTGCACAAGACTAACTCAAAATCTGCCAAGTCATGCTGTTGTCCAGCACAGATTTTTTTCACCAATACAGGTGTATCGTGAAATGTTTTTTTCTACTTACAGGTCAGCTAAAATCTCAAGTGTGATTGCTTTGAGATCTGCCCCTTTGGCTGCGATTCGTTTTCCTTCACGTATCCCACAGAATACCAAGCGTTTAGCTTAGGTGAACTGAAGCCCTGGGTGCACTGGTATCGGCTGCATTCAGCGCTCGTACGGATGCCAGTTGCAGACTTTCATTTTTGACGAAAGGACTCAAATTGCTGAAGAGCCTCACCCCAGTCCCTTGCTGGTTTGATCAGTGTAACGACCAGTTCCCGCAGCGGTGGGCCTGTCCTGAGCCGTGGCCGCGAGCAGTCTGCTGTCCGGGTCAGAGTGAGCTTTCGCGTAACATGGAATGTGTTTTCCAGCACGTCCAGCGAGTAAAACGCTCCTGGCAAAACCCAAGAGATGAGTATCCTGCTGTGACACCTACGCCTTGTGCGCGGCGAAGGGGGTTTCTGGTTAAATACGCGTGATGGTATCAGCTTGTGGTGTGAGTACAAGTGCTGTGCTGTGACTCTGCTGCGCGTCTGCTCTCTGGAGTGCCGCTGGGTTTGCTCGTTGCTCTGGTTCGGTGCGGGCTGTCTCGGGCACTGTCGGGGGCAGCGATGCCTTTGGGTTTTGTGCATATACGCCTTGTGCGCGGCGAAGGGGGTTTCTGGTTAAATACGCGTGATGGTATCAGCTTGTGGTGTGAGTACAAGTGCTGTGCTGTGACTCTGCTGCGCGTCTGCTCTCTGGAGTGCCGCTGGGTTTGCTCGTTGCTCTGGTTCGGTGCGGGCTGTCTCGGGCACTGTCGGGGGCAGCGATGCCTTTGGGTTTTGTGCATAGGTGTGCGGGAGGCGCTTACCTCCCTGGAGCAACATCTGGATTACTGGTGGGACTCGGCTCTCGGCTTTGCCGGTGGTTTCGGGCGTCTCCAAAGCAACACGAACCACCTGGGAAAGACGCGTTTATTCCAGAGGAAGG